CTTTTTTTTTCCTAGTAACTCCCAACTTAATAGTGGTTGCTTGCAGCCTTGTTGGGAGTGAATGCAAATAAAAAAAAAAAAAAAAAAGTGATTGGGAAATATTTTGACATATTCCCAATTTCGCCAAAACGCTGTAAAAAAATTATTCCTGATTAACACACTGTTTCTTTACAAAATAAAAATTTCCAATGATTGCACCAATTAAGTCAAATTACGGTTAAAAGTATAGTAGGTTTGTCTGTTTGTTTTAATCAAATCATAAATTTTTTCAAAGTTAAGCCATCTTTGGTTATCAGTTAAATTCGGTTTAGAAGTCCAAGTTCGTCTTTCAATTATTTTCGGGCTACATATACGGCTTAAATTCGTCTTTCAGTTAAATTCGGTATACACATATAATCTAAATTCGTCTTTCATATAACTTCAAGTCTCAAAAAGTCGATTTTTAATGTGACAAGTTTGTATGCTAAAATTTTACTTTATACTTAGTAAAACCTTTTTCTAACGAAAATTTCCGTGTTTAAAAACTTATTTTAAGAGAAGGAAAATTTCCGTTCAATTTTGTTAAATGGGTACTTTTCGTACAAATAATGGAAAATAATTCCGTAAAAGTACGGAACTTTTTAACAGTGTATGTTATTAAAAACCAAAGTTTACTTTAGTTTAAATTATACTTAACTGACAGGAAGCAATTTATACTGAAAGAATCAAAAGATTCAAAAAAAAACTTCATAACTTGTAGGGTACCTTAACGTTCTAGTTTAGGACCATTACTGTTTTTAATTTATATAAATGACTTATATTTATCATCAAAAAAGTTAAATACAATTTTATTTGCAGATGACTCTAGTTTATTTTATTCTCACAAAGATATTAATATTCTTTTTAAAATATTTAATTAAGAACTAGATAAGATAAACGAGTGGTTTATTAGAAACCGACTTTCATTAAATGTAGAGAAAACTAAATTTATCTTATTCCATAAACCTAGTAAAGCCAATAATATTCCTGTTAACTTACCTAATCTTTTAATTAATAACATAATAATTAAAAGGGAATCGACAACAAACTTCCAAGGAGTTATCTTAGATAAAAAAATTGTCATAGAAATTTCCAAGGAGTTATTTTAGATAAAAAAATTGTCATGGAAATTTCATGTTAAATATATTGAAAGTAAGATATCAAAAAGTATTTCCATGTTATATAAAACAAAATATTTTTTTAATAATGCATCATTAAAAAAATAATATTTTTCGTTTATAGGGGAAAGCGGGGCAACATGGCGAATGGGGCAAAATGGGTTTTCATATAACAACTCAACAAAAAATTTAAAAATTGCGTGAAAACGAAACTGTATTTGCATCTTGTATTTTAAAATACCAATTTGTTTTTTGAAATATTATTAACGCTATTTTATACAAATAAGTTTACTTTTTGCGCTTAAAAAAAAATTCCACACTTTCGGTTTCTCATAATGGTTGGTGTACTTTAAGTTTAACTTCTTTAGAAGTAGTTTTTGCAATTTGTGTTTATTTTTTGTTACTTTAGTTAGAATTATTGGCAGTTTTTAAAATTTTATAAAATTGGAGGTAAAAATTGCATAATAAGTCATCTTGCCCCGGTCACGTGACCAGATGACAAATTTATGAACTTTTTATTTTAATATTTATTTCAAACTGTTATATTTGCAAACTGAAAATTCATGCAGGCAATAAAAGAATTTAATAGCATAAACATACTGAGAAAGTATTATGGCTTCGCGACTTATAGTTTTTCAATAACTCAGGGCTTTCAAAACGTTCGCCATGTTGCCTAAATAAAATAAAAAAATAATAATAATAATAAAAAAAATATATAATAAGTTTTTATCCAATTCAATTTCGTGGAATTTTTGTTAGGAAATATTTTCTTCGCATTTTTAATGATAAACTAGAATTCGTCTTAAACTGCTCAATGGAAAGTTATAAGGCTGATTCAAAACGGCATTTACTAAACATGGACTTCGATATATTAGATTTCTAATACATATTTTGAAAATAATTTAATTGTTTGAATCAAAAAATTATTTTAAATCTGTACTACATTTCTTTAACTTTTTTATTACATTTCTTTAACTTTTTAACTTTGTTTGTTTTTGTTGTGCTTTTGTTGATATTAAATAATTAGTAATAAATAGTAATAATTATAATAAAGCAACGCAATTTTTGTGGATTGATAACAGGACCGACGACACGGGTTTTGAAGTAGGGTGGGGTGGGGGCACAATCATCAATTAGTGAAAAAAGTCCTCTATATCAAGATGTTTTTTTTAATAAAAAAGGACCTTCAGAAAAAAAGTGTGTGTGTGTGGGGGGGGGGGGGGGGGTGCACGTGCCCCCTGGCCCCCCGGTGTCGTCTGCCCAGGATAATTTCTTGGTTATCTATCTGTTGTTAACAACAGCAGTAATAGAATAAAATATGTTTCATTTTATCACTTCAATTATTCCGTTGAAATATTGCTGTTAAAAGTTTTTACTATTCATTTTGAAAGTTTTTTTTTTGAAAGTTTTTTTTGTGTATATACTATTTCATTGATTATTTATTTCTCATGTAAATATTTAAAACGTTTGCAAAATACTAATTGTTGGGGGCTCAGCGATAGGACAATTTGTCTTCTTCTTGCTCCTACCAGGTTCTTATTTAAGTCAATCAAGATATTAAAAGGTAAATTTGAAATTTATTTTATCGTATTAATAAGTAATTGTATCATAAGTTTTTACTTTTGTCAAATTAAATAGATATCTTACTGACAACTATTAGGAACAGTTGTTATCTGAATCGGGAATGAATTATTATCTAGTGAAAAAGCTTGCCGACCTCATAAATACGTTTTATTTTGCCCTTCCTCCCACATACTAATTTTCTCAACCTCTCGAAGTTGGAATGTTTGCAAAATATTGATCTGTTTTTATTTCCACAACAATTAATTGTACAACCGACGTTAAGTTGTACTTACGCTAGAAACTGTATCCATTATAAAAGTTGTTATGCAGCTATCGTATAACATTCCTAATACTATTAAAAATCAACATTGACGGAAACACTATTTATCCAGGTAGGACGCATCCCTTTTTTTATAAATAAATCTGAATGTTGAGCACTAACGTTAGGGGGGTCCAAGATTCTATCCTTTTTGATTAACCAATTATTTTTAATTAATTTTTTTAGAAAAGTTTAATAAACAACTCCAGGGCCGACGACACGGGTTTCAAAGTGGAGGGGCACAATTGTCAATTTTTAAAAAAGTCCTCTATATCTGGAATTTTCTTTAAAAAAAAAAGAAAAAAAAATGGTCCTTTAGAAAAAAAGAGTAGGGAGGGGCACCCCCCCCCCCAGTGTCGTCGGCTCTAAATTCAGTTTTTGCTTTTTTTTTTGTGGTTGAATTTCTATTTGAATTTTTAAAATTATGAAACTTAAAATCCACAAATCTTTGCAGCGTGTTCTTTGCGTGTAAAGTTAAGCAACTTTAATGTTAAAATTTATGCAATTTAAATTTTGATTGGATAACTTTGAATTAAAATGAATGAAATGTTGCGTTTAAATCTAAATAAGTCTTATCAAGTGAAAAAATTTGTTTTGATTTAGGGGTCGTCCATAAAGTACGTACTTTTTTTTTTTGCACTCTCCCCCCCCCCCCATTCTTTTGGACACAGTCGGTAAAATTGGATTTATAGTTGGCAGTCGGCTAATGTCGGAAAACGAGGACCTTTTTTTTTGTCGGAAAACGAGGCACCCCCCCCCCCCTTTAAAATCTCTTCAGGACGGCCCTGACAGTAACAGAAACAACTGACACAGAGCGGGGTAGCAAAAAAAAAAAACAGTTCTTTTCTAAGCTTTGCATTAGATATCCAAGAGATACTATATCTTAGCTTGTTTGAAATTACAAGGCAGTTCATTTACTTGCAATTCAGAAGTCAATAAATATATTGATAAACAGAAAGATGTTTAGTCAATAGACGATTAATGAATGGGATGTCTACTTTAGTATTAATCAAAAATTAGTAAACCATTGCAGCAAAGACCCACTTTATTTAAAATCATAATTATTGATAAAAATACAAAAAAACGTCGTCTTATGTTTACAGAAGAATAAGCTAATAATTTAAAATTTCAACTTAACTCCGAAAGCCCTCACAACAATTCACAATCATCTATGAAGACTTTTTAGTTATTAAGGTGCTTCAAGAAGAACTAAGCGGCTTATAACAAAGCACCGTGGAGGGGCAATTTAACTAAGAAGTTTACACCTCCTTCCTTACTTATGTCGCCTATCTGGTCAGAGCCAACATTGAACTTCAGACTTCTTGATTCTGAGAAAGAACTTGAATCACTGCACCATGGTTGAAAGTTATTTCGCATTTTCACTAGTAGTTACAAATTGATCCTTATATGGAGTAATTTTATGTATAATGCCTAATTTTTTGTCTTATTTTTAACTACACATAATGATTACGTATTTTATTGATAAAACGAAAAAAAAAATTTACCACGGATTCTACTTTGATAATAATAATGATTTCATTCGATTTAACAATAAGTGTTTTGTCAAAATAACCGCTTTAATTGAAATTGAAGTAGAAGGCCAAATATTTATAATGAAAAAAAAAAAAAAAGTAATTCGAAATCAACATAACAAATTAATTAAGAAAAAGTGGTTAAACTACACAAAATCCAAAAAAAGTTATTTTTGGACCCCCTTACTAACGCGTTAATATAATGTTGATAGTACTTTTACAGTAATCGCAACTACCTACTTAAAACATTAAAATTTTAAAGAAACCTTTTTATTAAAACACTTTTTATTTGTTACGTTTTTTTGTCAACTTAATTTTTTTTTTTCTTCTTAACTAACTTTTATTAAAAATTTAATTTTGCCTTATTATTGTTTCTTATCGTATTCTTAATATTAACTTATTGGTTATTTGTAGCCTTGGTATTTTAGATCTAGGAAATGTGCGGTCACGTTTACACAATCTTCGTTTCTTTATTATTACCATTAACTTCTTTCGGTACAAAAACAAAAATCAAGACCAAGTTTCACATTGGAACCTTCTTTTTGATTCCATTATTTTAAAGTATCTTTCTGCTTCTGTTTGCGACAATTTGCCGTGAACTTCAAAAATGGATTTCAAGGTATTAATGACATCGTTTGGCATATTTTTTGAGTTTCTAAAAATTAAAATCAATTAAAGTTAATTATTATCTATTAATATAGTCTAATTAACTTAAAATTAATTAAAGTATACTTATTTAATTACGACTTTAATAATTTGGTATATTAATTTTATTTTTAAATCTCACCCAGCAATAAAAAAATGCGCATTCTCTTGCGAGATTAACCTCCATATGAGTTCTCCTTGTTCTGCCATTTTATGATAAACGTAAACCTTTTCTGTCTAAAGAAGCATCGTCATCATCATCATCACCATCAAAATCATCATCATCATCATCATCATCATCATCATAATCACATCATCAAAATCGTCATCACCGTCATCTACTTTTAATAGCAACAAAATCATACTTGATCACGTGAATAAGCTGTAAATACTTTCAGTCGGGAGTTTTGAATCATTAAGCGGCTCCATTCATCATTGAAGTAATCATCTCCGCCTTTATTACGACAACCGAAAAAAAGTATTATATCACCTGAAAATAAATGTATTAAAAAAATGAACTTTTTTATTATTATAAAAGAAATCTCATATAAAACTTTTTAAATAAAAAACTTTTTAAAAAATGTTTTAAAACTTATCTTTTACATTTTTTAAAAACAATTTTAAAACTTATCCCTACTTGAGCCATCCTTTAACGTTTGCTCTTCTATGAATGAACGGAAAGGTGCAACTCCTGTACCTAGAAAAAAAAAATTTCTGTTCTCATGTAGTCAAATATAAAAAATATAACAACGAAGATACACTTGTGAAAATTTAAAAAAAAAAAGTTAAACGCAATCAGAAAATAGACGATTTCGGAGTTGACGTAGCCATCTTGGAAAAATATTCTTGGGGGTGCAAGTTGAACTTTAAATCTTCCGTTTTTATGCAAAATGTCATATAACAAGTATGAAGATTTTCTCAATTTAAGTTCAAAAAAAACTCATAAATTATTTGTCTATTTGTGGTTTGAAAATAACTGGAAAAAAAGTTGAACTTGTTGCTAGAGCTTTTGCTGCTATGGAGCTTAATCTTGATGTTATATGTTCTGCTGAAGATCAATATAAAAGGCTTCAAATTGATTACGAACATTCATTACAAAAGCATGGAATTCCAGATCCCAATGGAGTTAAACTAGAAAAGCGATTCGATAATCTTTCCAAATGGCCGGTTGTGACAATGGGAAATATTTTTGCTTTTATTTTAAAGAAAAAAGAGTTTAATACAGATTATATTGGAGAGTATAAAGATCAGAAAGCCTTTTCGTACTTTGATAGTAGTTTTGTTGGACCCATTTCTATTTATGAACATTATTTAAAATCAAAGGAAAAAGTTATATTTTTATACTGTACAGTAACAGCCTCACAAGCTCTCCGTGAATCTTAAACTTTATGGATAGTTATAAAACAAGGTGATGAAAAAGGAAGTGATATTTTAACTGGATGGTGTTCATGTATGGCAGGATCATACGAAACTTGTAATCACGTAATTGCATGTTTATATAAAATTGAATATGCAAATACAAAAGGTTGGTGCAATCCTGCATGTACTGAAACAACGTGTCAGTGGAACTTTGGAACCCGCAAAGATGTGGAGCCTAAAAGAATTTCAGATTTGATTATTTCTAAAAAACTTTGAACTAAATCATCTTTAAGTAATGACTGCGAAGAAAATAGAATGAAAAATCGCACAGGACAATATCTTCTAACCATATATCAAATTTCATAAGGGATATGCAATTAGTAAACGAAGAAGCCGTCTTATTTAAATCCATAGAATCACTTAGTACAACTAATGAAGAACATTATAATTATGCCTTTGTGAAAACCATTGCACTTAATGTTTTAAAAGCATATTCTCAGTTTTCTGAAACAGAATTAATTCAGATATTTATTGAAAAACTAAATATGTCTTTAAAGACTATTGAAAATGTTGAAAAAGCTACAAGAGGACAGTCGAAAGTTTTATTGTGGTTTGAAATAAGGAGTGGAAGGTTAACAGCTTCTAAACATCATAAAGTTTTTACTAAAGTAAATACAATTTTAAAAGCACAGGGGTCAATAAAACCTAAGACCTACACCTCTTGTTTCTAAAATAATTTACTATGATGATGTATCTAGTGCTGCTATGAAATGGGGAGTCCAACATGAAGATATTGCATTTAAAAGTTTTTATGCTCAAGAAATATCAAAACATCAGGATTTTAGAGCAGAAAAATGTGGAATTTTTCTTTCAAAATTTTAATGTTATTTAGCTGCATCACCTGATGGCATTTTATTTTGTAGATTCCATGGTAAAAGTATTTTAGAAATCAAGTGTCCGTATAGTCTTCGTGATAAAAAAATATCAGAATCAGTAAATGATTGTGAATTCTTAACAGTTAACAATGGCAAAATTACTTTAATGGAAAATCACAAATACTACACACAAGTTAATTCACAAATGGCAATAACAGAAATAAAAGAATGTTTTTTTGTTGTTTGGACTACCCAGGAAACTTTTGTTCAAAAAGTTAAGTTCAACCAAGATCATTGGAATAAAGTTTCCACAAATCTTGATATATTTTACAAAACTTTTGTTTGTCCAGCTCTTCTAAACTTTAAACCTTTAATATTTTGTTGTAAGTGTGATAATGTTTTGTTAGAAAAGTGTGAAATTGACACAAACAAAGAATCGTATTTAAAAAGCATCCAATGTAATCTTTGTGAAGGTTGGCTCCATTTTAAATGTGAAGGTTCAACGGATACTAAAAATGAGAACAATACAGAATGGATATGCTCATACTGCCTTGTTTCCTTACCAGGCTTGGAATAACCTACTGTGATTATCGGATACAATTTCATCAAAAATTTATGAAACTACTTTGGTTTTAAACCTGAAATAAATTTTTTTTTGCTGGATCATATCTTACCTTTATAATATTATTTATGTAGTAACTTGCATAGTTTGAGCAAATGTTTAAAAATTTGTATTAAATTTTGTTAAATTTTAAAAAATCTGACAAGGATGTTTGAAACTGTTGCCATACTTTTGAAAAATAAAATATATTCTCTAACAATAATTTCTCAAAAATACATGTTTACATAGTTTTCCATGTTACTAAAATTGAAATAAAAAAAAACTTGTCCCTTTTTATCCTTTTTATAATGACCCCCTACCCTACTATTTGCATGACGTGCTTTATGGATGGCTCCTGATTAATATAATAACTATGATGTTAAATTATAAATTCATGGTAAAAATTAATATTGATAAATATAAACATCATGTTTATACTTAACAAGTATAAACATATTTATACTTATCAATAGTAATTTGCAAAAAATAAAATATAAAAATTTTTAAAAACATTTTATATATTTTTTGATGCCTGAGTTTGATTTTGAGTGCCTGATTTTTTGGTACCTTTGGTGCACATAGTATAAGTTCCTGAGTAAAGTTATCTAGAAATTTACTTTTTAATTGATAAATTTAAAGTTCTCAAAAAGTTTAACTAATGAACTAACTAATTGATTAAGAAGGAGAGGAAAAAAAAGAAAAGTCGATTAGTGACAACGATCTAGGTAATTCGGGGTGACTGCAGGCAGCGCACACTCTACTTAACTTTTAATTGTTACAATCAGCGGGGCCAGAGCATATTCAATTTCGTGTCCCTTCCTCCTCAGTTTTAGGAGCAGCCGTGATGCAGTCGTTAGATCGCTAAACTTTAGAGGTTAGAAATAAAGTTAATCATTGTTTTTTTAATATAAAGTAAAATATTAATATTAAAAAAAGTACCTTATTATCAATGTACCTTGTTATTGGTCCCCTGACCAATAACAAGGTACTTTAATATAATTTTGAATTTCATTTCACGATTATTATTTTTATCGTATGAAATTTGAGTGAAAATATCTTTACAGTTGATAGGCTAAAAGTTTCAGTTTTAAATAGGGGGGGGGGGGGGGGAGGCGGCATTAGCCCACCTCTGGTTACAATAAGTTAAGGAGGGTTCCTCCTTCCAATAATTACAAGTTTTTATTAACAAATTATTTTGTAAAGTTATTTTTTTTTAAAAAGAGCAATGCTGAATATATAGTTTTGTTTTGCAGTAACGACATAAAGAACAGTGTTTTTTATCATGTTTACATCAATGGATATCAAAAAGAAATAAAATTTATTGCTTCTGTTAAAAAGAGGATTAAAGGTTATTGGATATTTTAAAAAAAAAATTAGCAATCATAATCACATTTTATTTCTATACTTCAACATTGGGTTATAGAGGATCTTCTTAAATGTCCCTCGTAGACGAACTATGTACTGGGATGTTGGATTGGTTTAGCTAGCTTCCTGACTTTTTTTTTTTTGCTTTTATAATTTTTTTATTTGTAGTAGGTCTATTTTTATGAATATGCTCTTATGAAAATGCATCTGAAAGTAAAAGTTATTAATATTAAACATGTTCATTCACGCAGAAAATGTATCTGAATTTTACTTGCTCCATATGGTCAACTCAAATTTTGTCAAAGGCTAGTGGGCCATGTCCACCCGTTGCTGTTGGACAAAAGTTAAGAAACGAAGTTACAAAAGCGCAGATAAAATTCCAACCTAATAAATTAATTAAATAACACCAGGCAATGTAAACTTTTTATTGCCCAGTGTTGTTAATAACATTATTACATTTTAAACACCTACATTCCTAAGCCAGATTTAATGCTTGTGTTAACACTTGCAAGTCTAAAAAAGAAAAGTAACGAGACTTATTGATGTTCGTGGCCTATCAAGTCATCTGAGGATCGACATGTTTTGCTATTTCTATTATGCTTCGATTACCTTTACTACATTGATACAAATTTTTTGTTTAAAAGTTGTGAACAGCTTATTGTGGAGGATAATTGGGAAAAAAACTACAAATTTTATTTACTTTTTAAGAATATAAATTTTTTTTAAGAAATATATACATGAGTATAAATATATTATTTAACTAATGGCTTTTTCAAGTTTACTAAACTAGCAATAACAATAACTATTTCATTAAAAACAGGTAAAAGAAGAATTGGCTGCTGCCTTTTTAAAATATGAAATTCTTTCATTCGCTTTATTGCTTGTTCAACATAAATTCTAACATAGGCAATATTTGATGTATTTCTGACATCCTTGGCTGTCATTTGGCTGCCCTTAGCTGCACTTGGTGGGATACATAGTGTACACTGTTTCATAGCCAAGTCTGTTTTTATTTTGAACCCTCTGTCAGCCATTACCTGATCTTTTGGTTCAAGCAATTCAAGAAAACCAGAATCACGTACAATGAAAACATCAGAAGCACGTCCACCATAAACTGGAGATATCCATGATATTGCTCCATTTGGTGTTATTGCAACTAAAAACTTAATGGTGCAATGATGTTTGTAACTGCTATATAAACAAGCTTGAACACTAAGGCCACTAGGAGTTTCCATAAATACTTCAGTGCAATCTATTATAGTGTGGACATTAGAAAAAGGTTTTATGAAACATTTTGGCAAAGTTGATTTAATTTGGATTGAAGACGACCATATAATCAAAACACTCAATACTTTTGACATTAGCTTTATCCAAGTTAAAAAGATTTATGATACCATTCCTGCAGATACATGAAATCGAAAACTTAAGTCTTCTACCAATAGTCCGAGGCGAAGTTTAATGAGAACTAAAAGCAACTCTTGTTCTAGATATAATTTTCGTTTGGGTCCAGATTTATGCATTTCAAGTAAATTTGGATCAACATCATAGTCAGGAGACAATAGTATTGCCTCTGTCAATTCAACAGAACTTGAGGTTTTTCTTGATTTACTGGAAATAGATTTGTTTTTACAAAGATACCATTTTGTTCCAATCAAGACAACCAGTTTCCTATATTGGATTACCTCCCCCTTCAATAACCAACTTTGTAAGTGATTTTATTGGCAGATATGTTGGCTCCCAGAGCTGTTCTCATTGTGTTATGTATGGTGTCTTTGTTAATGTCAATATGTTGAGATTTAGAATTTGATGTGCTTTGTTGTATTGCAGGACTAGGCTGATATTCATTGCCAGTTGAACTGAGTGTGTGAGATAAGTTTGAAGTATTGCGTACGTATTACGTGTGTATTACTCACAGAATCCTGAGCATCTACAATAGAAGATATTCTATTAGTCACACTTTCCAGATCTCTCTTTAATTTTTTCTTTGAATAGTCAGCTCTGATTTGTTCAGATCTTTGATACATATATCCTAACTGAAACCAACACCAAGCTGGCAAGATATAAGTGAGTCAATTTTTGTGTTCTTTGGCTTCTTGCTCCTGGAGATACAGCAGGTGCTTCAAAACATCAATCCTGAGAGGAAACATAACAGACATCATTTTTGCAGACTTTCCAACTAAAAAATTATTTTTCATTCTGGTACTCTGGTGGCTTTTTTTGGGCTTGTGAGAGCTGGACCAACCACCACCAGAGTCAACTCTAATTTTTTCTTACTTGCTCTCATTTTTTAATTCTATTAACAATTTAAATGATAAACATTGAATATATTACATAATTTAAATGATATACATTGAATATAATACATAATTGCCATTTGATTCAAAAATTTTTTTACAATTTATAACAACTATACAAAGAGAATTACAAAGTAGCTAAAAATAATATTTTGCTTTTTATATAAAAATTCACTTACAACTCTCATGTTAATCAAAATACACTGTTGATTATATTTCGATAAATTATTTAAGCACACATAAATAAATCAGAGTTCTATCTTCATCAGAAGACCCACAGCCAAAAAAAACTGGATTTGATTGATTGATTGGTTACAACAAGTAAAATAGGTCAACATTGGTTATAGATCTAGCGCAAAGCATAAAGATGAACCTACAATGATTATTTGTAGTAAATGTCTTTTAAATAACATAAACATTCATTTGTTAAAATAATATTCAGTTGTTTTTTTTTTCGTTGGTATATTATGCAATCTATAAAAAATTTTTTTTTTTTTTGAAAACTTGATGAGGCCAGAGCAAGTTATAAAAATAACTTTAAGAAAGAAAAAACTGGTCAGTTACAAGTAATCTATGTTAATTCTTGTCTTCTTCTAATCCATTCTTTTAATCCATGTCTTCTTATCAGAAAAGCACTCAACAGCAAGGGTTTAAAGGCTCACACATACAAGAAATTTCGAAGTGATCAATTGATGGAATATTAAAAGCAATTCATTGCGTAAACTCAAACACTTGAGAAATAAATATTTATTAACTGAAAATGGCATAACTATTAAAACATTTATGATATGATTAATACAAACAGACAACCCTACTATACTTTTAACCATAATTTAACTTAATTGATTGCACTGTTACTGGGAAAAATTCATTTTTACAAATGTAACACTTTATTCCAATCAAGCCAACCAGTTTTTTAAATTAGAACACTTTCATTCATTAATCACTAAACCAAGGACGGATCTATAGAAAAGGATAGGGGGAGGAGGGAAAGAGGGGGAATTGCCCCTCTTCCTTTCATGATTGAAAAAAACTTTTTTGTGACTAATACTTGATTTTTGCATTCCTCTAATAAAAAAGCATGCAATGTTGACTAAAACTTAAAATATCTTGAAGTAAATTAAACTTATTAAAACATACTATTTGACAATGATTAGAGAGTTAAGTTGTTCAACTAATTACGTATTTAAAACCTTGATTTGTTGATTATTTCAGCAACTTATATTATAAGTTCTAATTGACAATTTTATGTCATAATGGTCAATCATATTTTTAACATTTATTAGAATATCTCTGTACATATTACTTTCAAAAAAGAAAAACTCAGTAAAATTAAAAAAAAAAACGATTAAAAATTATTTTTATCTTTACAGTGACAATCTTAACAGTTTTTTCTTATAATAGGATTAAAATTACTATAACTCAAACAACAAAAACTCAACTGAAACTCAACAAACAAAAAATTATATAAAATGATTCAATCAATATGACGTTCTTTTATTTTATTGATTAAAAAGCAATAAAAAATGTATTATTTTTGAGGTTTATAGTTGTTACTAAGTATTTTTAAATTGCGCATGAACTATTTCTTCAACCCTTTGAATTTATCACTGATTAAGTAAGCAAACCTTTATAGTTCAAATAAAGGAAACTTTGAACTATTATGTTATATCACTGCAATATCATGCTTGCTGCAACTAGTAAGCTAAGTTTATGTTGTTATTTTCATTTTAAATCCCATCGCATTAAAAACAAAAAACCTATAGCAGTATATTTATTTACAGTATATATTACAGTAAATTTCGGATGCTATAGTTTGCTGCCAAAGCCGAAACTGACATTTCGGCAAATACTTTATCAAAACCAATACCGACATTTTGGCTAGTCAACATTAATTTTATTAGAAAAACTTATTTAAAAACGTAATTTTATGTTTGTTGTTTTTTATACTTATATCGTGTTAAAATTGACATGTGTATATACGCGCGATGTGATATATCACAAATTGAACTTTGATACAAAAGTTGTGAAAATTCTAAAAAATTTTGAGAAAATTCTTAAAATATTTTGTAAAAATTCTCAAAAATAACTGTTTTTCTAAATTAGATAAAATTTAAAATCTTACAAATTTTTGGTTTTTGGTTTTTTAACAGAAATTTTGCTTTCTACCGAATTTATAAAAAGTACCGAAACCAAAATTTCGGTATCGATTCAAATTGAAATTTCAGCCGAAACCTATACCGAAACAGAATTTCGGTCAATCAGTACGAACAAAGGAAGAATCCTTCTTTAAAGGAACCATAGATAATTCTCCATAATAAAATCAGGGTACCTTTTTTTAAATAACTACAATTTAATTAGTATACCTGGACCAACCATAATGATTGGACAATCATGCTTCGGGAAAGTAATAGTTCCAGGACATACCCATATATTAACAACATCTTTATGATCAGGAATTAATGATGCCAACCAATTGGAACACACACCTTTACGTGGATTTAGCATTTTTGTTTTATATTTTACAACTGCCATAATAATTTCAACAGTTCCAGGTTTGGCCTGCAATAATAATTCTATTTTTAATACATTTTTGTAATAAGAAAAAAAAAAAAATTGAAATAAAAAAAATTATACAAATTTTAATCATAACTTGTCACCCAGCATTCCAATTTATTACTTTCATAAATATAAGTTATTAACTATAAAAGTTTTTTTTTTAAATTTTAATTTTTATTTTAATTCACCTGCTCAAGGCCTAGAAGGCCGCTACAGACGAGGATGCTACTTATTTGTGGCTATAACCCTCTCTCAACTCTATAACAACCATTTAAAGTTTATCAGGTTTTTCATTGGAGAAGGAAAAGTATATTTCTGTTAAACATCAAAACCAGAAATCAATAATCAAGACCTTTATCCTCAATGTCTCAGCCTTTTAGTCTCAATGTTTCAGAAATGCATAAACACAATTAAAATCTAAATTAAATTAAAAAATGATTATAAAATTAAAAAAAGACTAATTGTTTTCATGCTTATTTGTATGAAAAAATAAAAGTTCTTTTCAAATATTTAAACATTGAACTTATTTTTTTTTTACTTTTTCTTTTTAAGCATTTGAACAGTAAAAACTCGTTATAATGGTGTTTTTTACACAACATTTGAAATTTAAAAAATAAAAAAAAATCATGAATTCTTTAAGATGACGAAAACCCTGATGTTATAATTTATTTAATAAGTTAAATTTTTTTGTCAAAAATTATTTAAGAGAATACTATATCCTTAATATTTATAGTATTGTACTAATTTCATAAATTATTCAATAGAAGAGGAAGTTCATGTACCTAGGGTTGGACTTTTTTAATGCCTTAATTCAAGGCCTCGGACTTTTCTAAAAATGGTGAAACTGATAATCACATCTCTTTACTAATTAATTTGTATAATTGACTTAAATTATAAAAATTGATGCATTGTGACAAACAAATTTGTCACAATGGGTCACATAAATACAAAAACAAAAATGTCAACAAAAGGTGTGCAGCAAAGTTTACAACTCTCTTAATTAAAATATAAATATAGCATTATTATACATCACTGTTGAATAATTTGTATCAGATAACTACACTAACAGTTCTGAAGCAACACAACTTGATTGCAACACATGATGATAGGAGTATACGACTATTTTTTAAAAAAAAATTAAAATAAGAAGAAACTTTTTCCTCTTATAAAAAAAAAAAGGGGGAGGGGGTAGTCTTAAAAAAAAAAAGTAAAAAATAAAAAGGGGGGGGAATTTTCAAAAAAATAAAAATAAGAAGAAACTTGGGTTAGAGGTTAGGGTTAGGGGGTAGGTAGGTGTCAGGGTAGGAGGCAGGGGGGCGAAAATATAAAAACATAAATCAAGTGTTAAGCAGGTAGCTAAAAAAAATCAATGTTATTGGTGTAATCAGTGTGTGTGAAAATAGGCGTTATCAATTTATTTAACATATTTTATACCACCCATTTTAATTTTTTGTTCCAATGATAACTTCTATTTTTTAGCTACCTGCTTAACGCTTACCTCCTTAACACCTCTTGACACCTGATAACGCCTATTTTCACACACACTGATTACACCAATAACATTAATTTTTTTTAGCTACCTGCTTAACACTTGATTTATGTTTTTATATTTTCGCCCCCCTGCCTCCTACCCTGACACCAACCTACCCCCTAACCCTAACCCCTAACCCAAGTTTCTTCTTATTTTTATTTTTTTGAAAATTCCCCCCCCCCCCCCTCTTTTTATTTTTTACTTTTTTTTTTAAGACTACCCCCCCTTTTTTTTTTTATAAGAGGAAAAAGTTTCTTCTTATTTTAATTTTTTTTTAAAAAATAGTCGTATACTCCTATCATCATCAATAATAATTGACTAAAAATTCTGAGAAAAATTAAGAAATAATTCATAAAATGGTAATCCCAAAACAGCTGCAAAAAACAAACAAACTCTGTATTAATCAAAATTCAAAAATCTACATTGTGATCAAACAAGTTCTTTATCAAAGAAATGACCCTAGGTACAAACAAACTATATGACCCAAGGTACATTATTCATAAGACTTGATAGTCTAATGAGAAACATCATCTAATAACAAACCAAAAAATACATAACAAAAGGTCGAGATTACAATATATCCATAGACTTATCTGTATTGTTTAAATCTAAATAAATGGTAATTGTAAAAATTTTTTTACCATTTGTGTAAAAAATGGTGACAATGGGTAAAAATAAGTTAAAAACTGCCTTAAAACAACCATTTATATTTAACAGACCTGCAACTTTTACAACTTCTATAGAAATCTTTCTTTAATTCTATCTATGCCATTGTAAATCAATAGTTGTTTTTTATATTTTAATTGAATTAATTACAATTCGCAATCACAATTAAAAACTTTGTTTACTGTTAAAAAAAAACAACAGGTTTTTACAACTAATTATAATATTATTGTTTTATTATTTTGCACTCAATGATAATTTTTGTTGTTTATGGTAATAATGTTAATGTAATAATTTTTTGCTTTAAAGTTAACCTACTTTTTATTCTGCTATCAATTTTTTGTTATAACAAATAAAACTGTTACTCAAATGTAGCATTTATATTTTAACTAAAAATGCCAACTCTGGACTTAATGTTAATCTTTCAAAGATATGTTTAAAATATAAGATTTTTAGTTTTAGATTTAAGTAATTTTAGCATAACACTCTCCTATAATGAGAGTGATATATTAATTCCATAAGACCTCGCAAAATAAATATTGGCTATTTAAAAAAATGACTTCTATGTAGAACATAAAACACTTGTTATTAATAGAACTCCCTTTCCGTTATTAATAATAGATTATTTATTAAGCTAAACATAAAACATATTTTAGCATCACTATCAATAATAACCCATTTTACGGATCACTTACTGCTAGTATTAATTAATAGAGTAAAATACAAAAATAATAAAATTAAACAAAATATTTAATGAATAAATAAGTGCAATTTATTATGCATTCTATTTTAAATGCAACTGCATTTTTTTTTTTAATTTTCTTGATAACTTATTTTACAAAAAAGCAAATTTAATATTGAAAATAAGAGACCGAAGATTCGCAAGTAAAAAATATGTTTTACTCACAATTTATTCAAATACATGTCAAACAAATTTTAAAAACATTTAAAAACAAACTGTTTATTTTGTTAAAAACAAAATAAAGCAAAAACTCTGTATAAAACCAAAAGTATATATCAAAAAGTTTTTGAAATATAAAACAGTGCATAAGAAATCCAATTCAATATTTAATTTAACTTGTCTGATTTAAATTGTCAATTTATTGTTTAGTTTAAGTCTACTATAACATGATTTTAAGTCTACTATAACATGATTTTAAGTCTACTATAACATGATTTTAAGTCTACTATAACATGATTTTAAGTCTACTATAACATGATTTTAAGTCTACTATAACATGATTTTAAGTCTACTATAACATGATTTTACTTTTACTATTTTTAATTACAATCATTTTAATTTTAATCTTAATCATTTGAAGCTTGGTAACCTTGTTTGATAATCTTATTTGATAATCTTGTTTAATAATCTTGTAATCTATTTGTAAATAGGCTGACAATAAAAGTCATTTACAAGATTATACCCATAAATAAATCTGGCAACAAATTAAAGTTTCATAACTACAGACCAATCTCTGTCCTCCTTATAATATCTAAAGTGAAAATCAAATAATTAGCAACTATTTAGAAGAAAATAATTTATCAAGCAATCACCAATTTGGCTATAGATCAAAGTGTTCCACATCAACTTGGTTATAAGTGTTCTGCAGAATGTAACAATTTTTACTGTTAACATCAGAAAAAAATATTGATAATAAACATCTTGTCAGAGCTGTATTTATTAACTTAACTAAAGCTTTCAACACAATTAGCCATGAGTCTGAAAACAATATTACTAATGTATGAAATAAATTGTTTAGCATGACAACTCATAACTAATTATTTTTTTAACAAAATATTTGCAACATTTAAACAACAAACTATTTTTCTTACTCAAAACATTTTGTTTTAAAATTATAAATAATTTTAATTTCCAACACTAATTTGAGCTAAAAAAAACTTTATCATTACATAATTAATTTAATATTTTATTTTATTTCATTTTTTTTTTTTTTTTGAATAATAATAAGAGATAAGATAAGATTAATTATTATAACTAATATAACAAATGTAACTATTTATTATTAATTTAAATTTATTACATTAAACTATCAATTTTTCAGTTAACATTATATATATGATATGCATGATCATTATTAATTTTACTACAGTTATCTTATTATATTTGTTATTTGACATTTTTCAAAATCAGAAAAATCAGAAAAAAATCTTCAAACAAAGAGCCTCAAGTTTTTTCACTTCTTTAAAATCTTTAAAGTTCTTTCTGCTCTTCTTTGAAATCCTCTATAGTTAAAAAATAAAACTTTTTTTGATTTTAAAACTAAACTGCTTCACCTACTTTGATAGAAGAAGCAATTGAAAAAGCTCTTGGTTGCATGATAGGAAAAAGGTCGAATAAATATTCTATTTTGAGCAATGAGCATGCCACAGGAAAGTCTTGCAACACCTAAATTAAAAACACTTAAAAAGATAAACAAATATATATTAATGATACATACAAACTGTTATCAACATGTATTCTGTTAAAACATTCTATTAGAGGTTCTATAAGAGGTAGCATTGGATTTCATAAGAAACAAAAACTTAACATGATTGTTCATAAAATTTTTATTTATAGCAAAAAAATAACAAATTTAGAGTCTTTTGAAGAAAGTCAACTTTGAAAAGCACTTAACAAGTTCCTAATAATATTACTTTTGTTTTTGGTTTTCAGAAGAAAAAAAAATCCTTTAGCTACTTTTTATATATATATATATATACATATATATATATATATATATATATATATATATATATATATATATATATATATATATATATATATATATATATATATATATATATTATATATATATATATATATATATATATATAAAATAATGCTGAACATAGTAGTAATAGTAGTAGAAGTAATAGTAGTAGTAGTAGTAGTAGTAGTAGTAGTAGTAGTAGTAGTAGTAGTAGTAGTAGTAGTAGTAGTAATAGTAGTAGTAGTAATAGTAGTAGTAGTAGTAGTAGTAGTAGTAGTAGTAGTAGTAGTAGTAGTAGTAGTAGTAGTAGTAGTAGTAGTAGTAGTAATAGTAGTAGTAGTAATAGTAGTAGTAGTAGTAGTAGTAATAGTAGTAGTAGTAATAGTAGTAGTAGTAGTAGTAGTAGTAGTAGTAGTAGTAGTAGTAGTAGTAGTAGTAGTAGTAGTAGTAGTAGTAGTAGTAGTAGAAGTGCCCTTTCGAACATGTTTGACACAGAACTCTTAGCAGCCATTGCAACTGAGGTAATGGCAAAAAAGAGTTACAGCACTTTTTGTTAACAGAAAATGTGAACAAAAATGTATCCAAATATCTAACTTATGTAAACTTCAAACTATGTAATGTTCAAATGTATACCAAGTTTTACAGTTGAACTTTTACTTGAAAATTGCATTGCGGCAATATCACCTGAATTTTGATCTGTAGCATTTATCTGGCATTTTATTAAGTCTTTTGTTTGTTAAATAATTTAAAAATGCTTATCAGACAACACGGCTGTGTGGCCAAGTGGTCAACTCACAATTTTTTTAAATTTTTCTACAATACAAAATAAAACACTTTTGAAGTTTTATAGATATTATATACATAACATTTGTAAAAATACAATACATTGTAACTAATGAAAGAGAGAGAATATTTTTAAAAACTTTGACTTTTTAAAACATCAAAACACCAGCAGAAATTTGTTGCACGTATATCAAGATGATTATGTTATCAATGTGCACAGGTATTAGTCCTAGTAATTGTGGGTGGTCTTAAAAAAATTATGGTCTGAAACTTAATAAAGGAAAATAATAATAAATCCATTATGCTACTCCAGAAGGTGATGCTGAGGAGGCAAAAAAAAAAAAAAACCTGCAGCAAGCAAAAACTTTATAACTTTATTTTAACAATTAAAAGTCTTTTTTGCTATATTGATTTTTTTGCTATAAATATATATGGCCAGATTGAAAAAACTGGAAATGCTTTACAAGGGGATGAGCTTCCCATGGGGGATATAAGGGAAGATGAGCTCCCCATGGGGATATAAGGGGAGATGAGCTCCCCATGACCCATAATTCTAGTCATCTTTTGTTTTGTAAATTTGATATAGTCTTGATATGATGAATTTTTTTTTTCTAAGCCTTGAATTTTGAAAAACCAATCAATAAGGTTAATCTGCGCATCTAGGACATTAAGATGCTGATTTTCTTTTTTAAAGTTGGAAGGTGTTTTTATTTTCTTTCAAAATAAATAGTTATTGTTAAAATTCTAATGAGCTCTAAGCATGCAAATAAAATGTGCATACTTATTTATTTTGCTCTAAGACCAATGTTTAAATTAATTATTTTTTTACCATTTATTCAAAAAACATTAAAGCGAAGAAATAGCTGAATAAGTATAAAAATAGAGGTAGTGAAATAAACTCCCCTAGACCTGTAATTTACGGGTCACGACAGCTAGTTTAACTAATAATAAAATAATAATAAAAATAATGAAAAAACTTAAAACTTAAAAAACTTAAAACTTAAAAAACTTTAGGTGTAAAGATATCTATTATAGCCAGATAAGCCTGAACACACAGTTGGTCTTAAAGGGAAAGTTCTGATATCAATGAACAGTATTTCAAATCAATGAGCTGTATTTCATGTTGTTGTAAAATTATTAGCTGTTGCTTTAGCATATATATATATATATATATATATATATATATATATATATATATATATATATATATATATATATATATATATATATATATATATATATATATATATATATATATATATATATATATATATATATATATATATATATATATAAAATATATATATATATATATATATAATATATGTCAGTATTTCTGTTCAGAGTTTCCGTGCAACACCATGCGCATACTTATAGGTAGAAAAAATAAAAAACGCAAGAACTTTAATGTTTCTTGTATTTCTTTATCATCTTAACATCAATATTTGTACCCTAAATTGAATTTTTCCTTTAAAAAATTATTGAAAGAATAATAATTAAAATTAATTACAAATTTTCTAAATAAATTTTGGTAATAAAAGTTTTTGTTATTAAAAACTTTTGTCTAAAAAAATTTTGAAACAGATGTTCTTGTAAAAAACTTAAAACTGAATTTAAAAATTGCTGTTGCTCTTGCCATTTTTCTACTCTTTTCAAATATATTTTGTTTTCGGAAGTCAACAATAACACTTAGTTTTTCAAAATAGTTAGGAAAATCATGAGTAATATATTTTAAGTCTAAAACTTAGACTTAAAATATATTACTCAAGCAATAGACTATACAAAGTAGATAACTCTTAAAAATGGGTGGAAATGGAAGTTTTACCAGATTGGTCTAGATTGAACCAAAAGAATGGAGCAACGATGTCAATCATTTGCCAAACATTACATGGCAAGATGTTACAAAATACTTAATCAATACACCTAGCATATACATGAAGGAATCAATCAGAGCCTATAAATCCTTGGAAGCATATGATTACTTCACTTGTGGTTATGTTCAACAATGTTTTTATAATAGAATATTGAATAGGAGCAAATTCTGTTTTATAAAATCAAAGGTTATTATCATTCAATTAAAAAATAAAGTTTTACCAAAGTTAAATAAGTAAAAACTTTTATATAGAAATAATCTTTTTGTAATAGGTCTTGCCAAGTCAAAGACAAAATAACAAAAATATGTATGATGTATAGTTTGTCTTGAGAACAGGGTTGGACTAGCTCTTTGTGGCAGTCTGGGGGATAATATTTCTAGCGGGCCTCTATAAAATCTTTTAAAAAAATCACATAATATATAAATGTGTTATTTAACTCTTAGATACCTCAATTAACAATAGATTATTTTAATTTATAAGTTTATTTATTGCCATATTGAAAGTACATAAGTTAAAAATCAAAATATTAACTCATCACACTTAATTATACTATCAAAGAATTTTTTAAATTAGTGGCCCATGGATTTATATTAGTGGCCCATTGTAAGTAAGATATCAGCGGCCCATTGTAAGTAAGATATCAGCGGCCCACTGGGGCTTCCCCTGGCATCCTGGTGGACAAGTCCAACCCTGCTTGAGAACACTGTTCTCAAACTTGACGGTCAGGTTGAAACTCTCCCCACTTCTAATATTTTTGCATTTAATTAATCATATGCATTAGTAAACACAATTTAAGTTGTAAGAAAAATCTGAACTATAGGCTAAGTATGTATATTTTCAAAATTAAAACTTCTTTTTTTTTTCTTGTAAGTTTAAGTAAAGTCAGCCATTATGGTAGTCAAAATAGGCTATTTACAGCAATGATATATAAAATATATCATTGATTTATGGCTTCTTGCCAGATATAACTATCACTTTTCAACATGGCATCAGATTTCAAATTATGTATCTGTGCAGTTTGCTTTGATAAATAAAGTTATCAGATCAAAATCTTTAACACCTATAACACCTTCAGTGCAAGAAAAAATTCAAGAATACATCTGTCCTTCAGTAGTTTGTTCCAACTGCAGAAGAAACTTATTTATTCTAAACAAAGGGAACACTGCATAACTTTCAAACTGGTAAGAGACTATATTAAAGGTATTTTGTGTGTGTGTGTGTATATATATATTATATATACCCCCCCACCCACCCCCCCACACACACAGATATATATATATATATATATATATATATATATATATATATATATATAAATATAATAAAAATCATGTAGCTTAATGCATAAATATGTTAGCACCGATTAAATTTATAAAACAATTCTGTATTTTAGATAAATACTATTAGGAGAACCTCTTAACTCCAATGTATCCATACAAATGTTGTGCCAGAATTGAATTTTTCAAATATGAATGAGAAAATCTGTGGGTTCTGCTATTTGAATCTTGGTATGTTAATACTATGATTTTATAATTTAAATAAGATTAATTGAAGTTTGATTCTCTTTATGTTACATTACAGTTTGATTCAATGTATTATTGTTTTTTATCTATTTTCAACATACTTTTAAAATAGTTTTAAATTTCTCACTATCAATTTTATCATGATTGTTGCAAAAGTAAAGCTGTTAAGAATATCATCGATATTAGTGAATCGTTTGGATATAAAAGTGCAGAGCAAGTAGCTTCTGGATTGTTAAAATGAAACATGAAAACATTCTAAGTGGAGAGCAGTTCGTGTTGTTTACTGGTGGAAATCTTCTCTCTGTTACAGTTGGAGTAAATGAAAATAAATCAAAAAGAAAGAAAGTAAATCAAGTTTTATTCCAAACTATTATGGAGCAATCGAACGTATTAGAAACTGTGTTCTACTTTACGGAGTAATCTAACTGGTGTAGAATCAAACATTAATATTAAAATGACTGAATTAAAGGATACTCTAGATACTTTATATGAATGTAAAACTGAAGAATTCCTTGA